ACTAATTTTAGGTACTCTTTGTAACATTATGCCTAGATCCAATTGAAAATAATTATTGTTGTAACAATACTAGTCCACTCAAACAAAAATTTAAATCTCCAACACCGGAAGTAATGTTACAAATGTTATTTATTCATATTTTTATAGATGTGATAGTGATGGGTCGTTTGTCATCCATGGATAAAATGTGTACAAGATGTACTTTTAAAATTCTTGTGGATTGTCCTATGTATGGACAAGTCAATCGTTTAATAGTTTTAACTGAATTAAGTCAATCATTAAATCCGCTTATTCCGATTCTAATCGCAGAATAAATATATTCGCTTTTCTTCTTAATGAAATTGAAATTAATTGTCCTTAAATTGTTTCAACTTTTGTCAAATTACGAGGGCTGTTCAAAAATTACGCGGACTTGTTGCACAGAAAAAATATTTGACGACATAATCGGGCAAAATGTCACACATAATATAAAAGAATCTTTACTTACATGGCCTTCAAAATTTCATATCAAAATGTTGTAAATTGGTATCAATTTTGAGTGATTTTTCAGGACATATCATTAAGTCACGGAGCAGCAAAATCTTTGACGTCACAGGCATTATAAAACAATATGTGATTTATCTCTCATTTTCTCAACATTTCCCAAGAGTACCTGCACAGTTTGAGTTACCTTATCTACTCAACATCAAAACACCATTTCTTGTCAATCTTAATATCTATTAAACAAGTAAAGAATAATATTTTTTTTGTTTAAAACCAAAAACTACAGGTATCTATGAGATACAGTGTGATATTAGTGACTCTCAATCACGTTAAGTACAGTCCGGATAAAGTTTTCATCGAAAATCTTCTTCCCATCCTCCCTTATAGCCTTTTTTCAGAGGACTAATGGTCTAAAATTTCAATATGCTATTTGTGGACGAATGTCACGAATACCTTAGTTTACCACTTGTTTTATTATTCATGTTTTGGATCTATGTTGGAGATATTTTGAGCATTACACATAATTTAACAAAAGTGTGGTGCGCCGTCAATTCAGGAGACGTCATTTTCACAGTCGTTTTCACGGGAATCGCATCAGAGAAAATTCACTACATTTCTGTTAATACTTCAAATATCACGTCAGAAATCTAAATACATAATAATAGAACAATTTAAAGATACATTTGAGAAAATTGTCGAAAAATATCGCGAATTATAGAAAATAAATGAGTTAAATTTTGGATTCCGCATGCTTTTGCTTTAAATCTTTTGTCGTGCTCCGTACCTCTCCATCAGCGATGTCAACAAACCGATAATTTTAGTAGAATTTTTTTTAAATACAGGAATTTTGCCCAAAATTTATTGGATTCTTTAAGATACATATTTCTGTGAAATTTCATAGCTGTATGACGTCTGTAAGAGTAAATAATAGCACAGTCCGCGTAATTTTTGAACGGCCCTCGTATATCCCCAAAGTCTTTTTCTTTTAAAAGATATCAAAGGAGTATATATGATTAGAGCCAATTTTGGCCCCCTAAAAATAAACATTTTAAAATGACATTCACATATGTTTAATCGATATTTATTTTGTAGAAGAGATTATATTAAAAAAATTTCCAATATATTTTTTACATTTATATGCACTCACTAGCTGTAAATGACATGAGAAATAATGGTATTTTTCCTCTCTAACAAAAAAGCCAAAAATATGCGTTTTTCTTGATGTTTTTTCTTAAGGAAAACATAGAGCGCAGTGTAAAACATACATAATTTTTCTGTCACTAATTAGTTTTGAATAGATACATCTTTGGTAAAAATATATATGAGAAAAACTGCTTGAAAATAAGCAGTTTTATACAAAATATGCTAAAATGGCGGGATAACGCCATTCCTATGATGTCATATTTCTAAAATAACAGCGTTTTGATCAAAATGAAAATGACCAATAAAGGTTGCATATATAGCTGTACAAATTAAAGCTTCATATAAAATAAAATTAAGATATTCATTTTAAGAGGCCAATTGAGACACTTACCGTATATCGCTCTTTTAAAAGTAAAAAAGCTAAAAAAAAAAAAATTGTTAGGCCAAAACAAAAAATAATCCTTTGTTGATATCACGTAAAATTACCTTCGAAAAATATGATTTTTCGCTTACATGTACCGGTATATCTCATGAAGAACAAACCCGATCATTTTTTTTCCATAACAAAGTTATTATACCTGTGCACGGACAATATTTTAAACTTCGTTACTAAACTTCCTTTCAAAAATCTTTAAAAATATTAGATTTTTCTTTATTCATTAATTTCGTGATTTTTAAATGGACATACCCCGGTAGGCTTTTACTAATGTAAAAAAAATACTCGGGTTTGAATTATCTTTATAATAAGATATAACCGACAAATTTATTTTATTCAAAGGTAACTTCACAACAGATCTGAACTTCCAGTTAGGAACTTTTGTTTGTCAATAAGGTTTTTGATCTATGTTTTCCATGTACATGTAAGGATTGTTGTAATAAACTATTAAATCAATCTTACAATTTATTTTTATATATTATCTATGTAATGAAGTACTTTTTTGTGTGTAAGATAATATGTGCCTGTTTCGGATCAAGCGGCTTTAAAGATACCTTAAACAGGTTGGGCACCCCCCCCCCCCACAAATAGTCATTTAACCACCGTTTGGTGGTCAATCGCCCATATCGGCGCTTTTATTACATACCAAAACGGTTTTGTTCAGTTCTCTAGAATGACGTGATTGTTTAAATATATTTTTTTTTACCAAACTATACACAACAAAATAATTTTTCGTATTGTTTGAGAAAATAGTTCGCCCATCACGAACAACTGTGGGTTTTTACGAAGTTCCAAAGGAATTCCACATGGAAAATTGACTTAATTGTATTGAATGTGCAGCAATATGTTAATTAGAATTTCCCAGTACCTAAGTAAATGCGCTTTTGCTTTATTTTGATAGAAATTCGATTTGAATAAAAAAGATCACCATTTGGTACATGTAGGTAAAAAAAGACGCCGATATGGGCGATTGACCACCGATCGAGGGTAAAGTGACCATTTGGGGGGGGGGGGGTGCCCAACTTGTTTAAATGTTAATTTGATCAAGAATGGAGAAGCATTGTTGATAGTTCATCCAAGTGCATTATTTATAGGATTTTTTAACAGATTTCGTCTAGAAAATTATCTACTGAATTTACCAACAGATTTAAGAGTTACACTTACAAAACAGAACACTTGTAATCACCACTAATTGTCAATTGGAAAGGGTAGATGGCATAATATTGACAGAAATTTAAGAATATGTACCATTTGTGATTGCAAAACTGTTTGTGATGAATATCATTATGTTATGGAATGTATGTACTTTTCGAAAGACAGAAAAATATTTCACCCAAACAGATATTGTAACAATCCTAACACTTTCAAATTCAATGAACTAATAAATAGTATAATGCAGAAATACAAAAATCATTATCAAAATTTATAAAGAAAAATTTTAAAACAAGCTGACTACATGGTTTTCTCACCCTTTTCTTTTTTCTTGACCCTCGTCTGTAATTTTTATTTGTATATATGTACCTTTTGTACCAGTGATCTTGTTTTGAGCGAATAAAGGATTGAAAAAAAAATTGAAAAAACACCGCAGACTTTAATTCTAAATGATCTATCGAAATAATTTTAACAAACTTATAGATAATGATAATTAATGCCTACAAGCCATAATCTAAAATACACTCAAAATTAACTGCCATCTAAATTACATTGGGGTTTTCATTTTAAACTACAAGAAACAGTAGCGTGAACAACCACCCCAAAAGCACACCTGCCACGTGCATTGAGGTCTAACTAATACTATCAGGTGTCTGCTTTGGATGACAAGCACAAGACAATCAAGCCATAGTGTATACACAAACAATTGTTTTAATTACAGTCTCAAGATAAAAGACAAGATTGAAAAGTGGAAAATATGAAAGAAAAAATACCACACTTAGTTTGAAGCTATCAAAATTTCAAGGTCACCCAAAGTTTCTCGTTAATGAGAACACTTCCACACATGAGTCTGCAGACGCACCACTTATCATACTTGAATGTATAAAATACTTGAAAATATTCAAAATATTTTGCAATTGTAAATTTTGTGGATTTGTTTATCTGCAAAATTCTGCAAAAAAAAAAAAAATGGACAACCGCAGAAATACCAGTTAAGGTCATACGCAACGTAGTTTGAACTTTCTGGGATTCTTCCCTAGAGTTGTAGAATTCCACTAAACGAAGGACCTGTGTGCAATATTTTTTTATGTCCATATATGGATTTTTACACCTCATCTAAAACAATTTTTGATGAAAAAAAATCTGGAATTTATGTTTTATAATTTGTGTACATTTTTATTTGAATAATGCAAAATTTTTCAAAATTCGATATCTTTTCAAAATATCTGGTAACGCATGCTGATTTCTTGTTTAAGAACATGTAATGATATTATAACTTTAAATTTTTGAACATCTTGGAAAATCATCAGTAGGTAAGGTACGTTGCCTATGTCCTTAATATGTACGGTATTTTTTTTTTTTAGATAATCGTATTTGTGTTATATTCATGTTTTACGATATTCGGCGGAAATTCAATTATGAACTAGTACACCCCTACTAATGTTATTGTTATTTAAATTTACATCACGTGGTTTCTCTTGAACTAGTCAAAGGTCATTAGGTTCGCAGTAAAGGAGAACGTTCACACTTATAGTCTGTTTTCTATATATAACCCAGATCTTGACAAAAGAGTTACGAGCAATTCCTTTATAATACAGTTGTTTAGACCTGCAGGAAATTAAAGCTCCTCCCCCCCCCCCCCCCAAACAAACACAATTTCTTCTTTTTTTCTCCCATTTTCATACTTCTTTACCTTCAACCCATCTCTAGGGTTTAATAAATTTTCCAGAGCACTGATATTTTTATTGAAGGCATGGATGGTTCCAGGAATTCTTTGTCCACATGAGTGGTGGGGGTGGGGTTGTTACATACCAACACCCTTAGTCAGAATCATAAAACCATAAAAATGGGGGGGGGGGGTGTAAAAAAAATGTATGAAAAGACACACACAAATCTAATTTCCTAGTCATACCTAGAATGATTTGGCAAACTTCAAAGCCTTATTACCCTTTCAAATCTAGCTGACTGTTACATGTAGGTGTCACATGATCATGATCTTACACATACTTAGTATATCCCTGTCCCTAATGTCAAGTTGGACTAAAATGTTCACATTTCTTCACATTGTGCCTTTTTCATAGACCCAAAAGCATTTAAATAAATATCTAGAATATATACATGTACATGTAAGCTCTTTTTACACCCAGTTCCTTTTAACTGAGATCATACTTGAGAAAAGATCCAACAAGATGTTTTCTAAATATATGTTTTACCATATAAAATTTATTTCTGTATTTTAATCTCACTCTGTGAAATATTTTGAACCCCTAGCTGTATTAGCCAAACACTTCTGGCCACAGCTCCAATGAACAGGGTTCAATATATAATCATGTCATGATACAAAAATACTTTTTAACATTAGCACAGTTTATTTCAACATCATTAATAAAGAAAAGCAGATACTGAACACAATGAGGACATTTCTAAAACATATAAAATAAATTTATCTCTTTGCTTTTTGTAAAACAGTCATGCATATATCATTCAGATTTTTTTTTTTTTACATTGTGAACAAGGGAAATAACTCTTTGGCAAGATCAATTATGTGTACAGATATACATGTACATATTTTTTAAAATAGCCATTTCATTTGTTATATAAAGATGTACATGTACTAAAGACATTTACACTGCTTGAGTTAAAATCAGCAGAGTTCAAAACAAGACCTTTCCCACGGTCCAAAATTAAATTTATTACATTTGTTATTGTACATAGAATGCACTACAAATCTAAGGTTAAGGGAGACAGATCAATAAAAAGCAATATGAGCCGCAATTCAAACTTCATAAAAAATTGAAATGTTCATGTTAAATTAAAACATTTTTGGTGTAAAATTGTGGTTCATTACTACAGTATTTCAATGACAGTAAAAGAAAGGATTACAAACTTCTATTAATCATACATGTACTTACATTAGAAAGTCTTTTTAGGAAATTCTGATTGAAAAAAAATTACATCTTTTATCCTTCAAAAAATATTGATTCCTACATAATATCGTTACATTATATATCAAGCTTTATACAGTTTTGAAATAAGCCATTATACTTATATAGAACAAAATACTTAGTATTCATTGTCAACCAAATTGGATCAGTATCATTTCAACCACAGAATGAAATCATTCAAAATTGATCACCATCATTCTGGCCTCATTACATTTGCTTCTGCGAGCATCTGTTTCATTCGGCAACCGTTCTTTATTTTCCGTGTAAAAAATACAAGGTCTCAACTCCAATCTTAAGGCAGTGCTGATATGCTGTCATCTTTTATAAATGCATGATCTGGATTTGAAAAAAAAATCAAACATCAATTCAGAGATTATACATGTACATACTGCAGATTCCTTATTTTTTGTGAGTTCTTATTATTGCAAAATAGCTCTTAAAAACATCAAATCGCAAGAATATATATTTGTGAATGGGCGGTTAATAAGGAGAATGTGCATGGGTTTCAGTACCATAAAAATAAAAGTGAAACATTTTATTTTGCAAGTGAATATGCTACATGAAAAATTGCAATAATAAATTTCTTGTGTTTAATAAGGAATTTACAGCATATCACATCAGTCTGTTGTTGTATACATAAAATTGAGTAACTTTTAAAATAATCGCATAATAAATTGTGTAAAATGTACTCAGATTTATAATTGACTATAAGCCTATATGGACCATGATGCTCCTCTGAGACATGTCAATTGAAAGTAAAATACAACCATATTTTCATTAAACATGTTAAAAATGACATTCTACACATGAAAAGTGTGACTAATCCCTAGGTGAGGGTCAGTCAAAAAGAAGTCACAATATTAAGTCAGATTATATATCTGTGTAAAAAAAGAAATATCCAGCCAGTGTCAAATCAGAATATAGGGGTGGATACATTAATATTTTGTGAATTAATTTGTGCCATTTCTTGTCAGGAATTCCAGATTTTAATTCAAAAGCACTCATGTATCCACTCCTTTAAATGTGCAGATCTGAATCTGCAAAAAGACTGCTTATTAAGTTTTGCATGAATATGAGATTGTCATTGTGTCATTTAGTCTAACCATCCTCCTGAAAATATTTGCTTTCGATTGGTTTGGGACAAACATGAATGTACCTAACAAGAATCAGTTTTCAAAAGTACAATGTACATGTATAGTTCAAATTTGTTAATAGTAATATCAAATGCATCATTCTTGAAAAAAATTGCTGATCTCAATCAAAACCTAAATCTTCTTTGAAATTAGCCATCCTCCCATTTGAGATACAAATTCCAACATCCAATTTAAAAATACTGAACATCCTCCCCAATGTGACATATACATTTTCATATGTTCATTTTCGAATTAAATAAATAAGAAAAAGTGAAGCATTCTGCCAATTTATCTATCATTTCATACAATCAGCCTCTCAAAAAGATTTTAAAATTTCTTTTTGGACAATGTCAGTTAATGAAAGCATGTCAGTTAATGAAAGCATGTGTTGAACTTTTCTTAATATAATATGCAATATCATACCAAATTTTTGCATGCATGTTCAAAATCAAAATCAACAATTTTACCGTGATAACCCTGAGTCCAACATGTTCCATTTCAATGGTTCCTTTTCCTCATCCTTCAAGAGTTTTAAGGAGTTTCAATATCCACATCCACAAAGGTTTTAAACCTTCTTTGTCAAAAACACCTATAAATAGAGTGGAATATTAATGCATTTGAAATAGTGTGTATTATAATGTTAATTTCTTCTTTGATGTCAAGGAAGTTAAGAAGGTCATGTGTAAGAAATTTATCAATGAATATTGTCTACAAAATTTATGCGCGTACGGTTCACTGTTATATGTAGTTGTATAAAACATTCAGTATAATATAATAAATACAGCATGTAGTTGAGTGTACCATTGAAAATTTTCACCCATCGAAAACCATTGTCAACCTCCGCTGCACCTCGGTTGACAATGGTTTTCTTGGGGTGACAATTTTCAATGTTACACACAACTACATGCAATATTTATATACTGTCTCACTCATGAAATAAATTTTCCATATTCAACTACAAAACATTGAATATCCTCAATATACATGTGAACACTTAACTGTACTAAACAAGAGGCCCATGGGCCACATCGCTCACCTGTAGCTTTGACCATGCTGTTCTTTACCAAATTCCCCCACTGTAATACATATTGTGACCCAACCCTCCCACATTGGTCATAATTTGGACAATTTAAATCTACACTACACACGGATGCTTCCACACAAGTTTCAGCTTTTCTGGCCCAGTAGTTCTTGTGAAGAAGATTTTTAAAGTATTTTTCTATATCTTTCAATTTAAAACTTGTGTCCCCTATTGTGGCCTTGCCCTACCCCTGGGGGTCATGATTTGAACAATTTACATACACTACCTTAGGATGCTTCCACATAAATTTCAGTTTTTCTACGCCAGACAACAGGTATAACAGAAACTCAACTGTCAGTTTTTTGCTCAGGTGAGCTAAAATCTTTATCTCTTCTGTCGCCCTTTCTTTCGGGGCTTTGTACCCTATCCTCCAGGGCAATGATAACAAATCTATATCTGCTACATGTTTACATGTCAAGACAGCATTTATGTCTGGACTGTCCTTAGGAAGAAGGCATTGCATTTTCTTTAAAAAAAATTTTCTTATAACCTTTATTCCCTTGTTCAAAAATAATCAATTGTGTCAAGTTGGTTGAAAGTGGCCCAATGGAGAATGTAAAAAGTTTATATACAAAGATGACAACAAGGGCAACAATACTCACAATAAGTACACCAATATACAACAGACAAATTTTAATCAGAAACTCCCTTGAGCCTCTGGACCTAGGGACTTACACTTTTGACAAATCCTGCTTTGTGTGTATTTTGAAATTGCATCTGTACATGTTTTTATGTCTCAGTGGACAGTTTCTTGAAGTTCTTGAACAGATTTTCTTACTTGTTTGTGATCCTGACATCATCCTGTAGGTGATAGATTGTCCAAATCTCTTCAGCACTACTGTCTTTCAATATATTAGGGGTAAGATCATGATGATGGGCGACTGGCATACAGCATCAGAATACTGATGTGAAATAGCATTCCTGTAGAGACCTGAAAGTTAAGGTTCAATGTTAAAAGTTAATCAACAAGAAGACAAATGTTGTACAACATTTCATAAATGATAAAACCATTTAATTAATATCTTATAGTCAAGATCTAGTAATTACTGTCCTTTTGTTGCTACTAGATCTATCTTGATCAAATCAATGATATGATTCTGAATCATCTTTAATATAAACTTACTTTTCCCTCTTCTGTATGTAGAAAATGAAGAATTTTCATGGAAAAATTTGAAATCAATCATGTTAAAAGTAACCATGATCATGATGATACCTTTATTCAGTTTAATATCATTTTAAAGCAGAGTGAAGAAGATAATGAAAAATAAAGTTTTCTGAGAGATGGTTCAATGGCAATATCAATTTATTTCTTGGTCTGAGCTCCAACTGACTTACAGTCATACATCTGCATGATCTTCTTCATTTTTCATTGAACTGAATGCAGTTTAATACCGGTACATAATTATATATTACTGAGTTTACCTAAAAATTATATCCCAATACACCTTTAATTACCAAGCTACACTATCGTTGTAAAGAATCATTAACAGATTAAATTTATACCTAAAATTTTAGAATTCTGTAGCTTGCTTGCATATAAATTTGCATAAGAAAAGTCACATGTAAGATGCCAAAAGTAAATTCATCAATGTTCATTTGGTGTACATGTTTTTCATCATTATTAAAGATTAAATCTTTAAAATTTGTCTTTAAGCGAACTTGTCCCTCCAGTATATTGCTATAAAATAACTTTTAATACCCAATTTAAGCAAAGTTTACAAAACAAATTTTGCAAAATTAAATTGTATGTGTATTCGAACAGGATTTGAACATGTTAAATTAGTAATCAGTTGGCCATAATATTGTGCTATTCAGTGCTTTGCCAAAGATTATTTTTCCTCTTATTTACTAAATGTTCATGATGATAACTACAAGCACATACATTTATTTATCACAAAAATTATAAAACAGGTACACAGATTCAGATGGGGAGGTGGGGGTTTTAACACACGCACAAGAAAAGTTTTAGATATGATGCATATAGTTCTCATTGTTGTACACTCGATGTACACTGACAAAGTAAAATCAGAGTCAATTCTGTGTCAAAATAAGGTTATCTAATTGTTGAGGGATCTTTTTTGTGCCAGCATCTACTGTGATAAAGGACCTTGAGCAGTTTATACAGTCTCATCCGAAGGACCGGTCTCCAAGTCCCACAGTGGGATTCGAACTTGTGATATAAGGATTGACTCCTTGCCTCGCGACTTTAGAGCAGACACTCTAACACTGCGTCAAGCAGGGATTTGGGGCGAAAAAATGCAATGAAGCTGAATTCCCCTGGAAAAATAAACCTATAAACTAAGATTATGCCTGAAGCAGAATTATGCCTACTTGAAAGTCCTTATTATCATATTATAATATTGTGACTTAAAATGCTGTACAGCCAAGAAAAGCAATTGAAAGTTGACTTACATATTGTAAATCAGGCCAAAAAAAATAATAGTCTTGTTTCCTGCTACCAGCCAGAAAAAATGGGGTAGGTAGGTAGGAAAATTATTTTATTTTTTAATTTCATTTTATTTTTTCCAATGGTATATTTTTGGATATGAACTACTACAAAACAAAATTGAACATGTCAAAGCTTAGATAGCTAAGGTCAATATCATCTTTAAAAATAAAATTCCATATCTTTGGATGCACAATTCAAGTGGAATTGTACGAAAGTCCATATTTTAAACATATGTTTCATGAAATACAACTTGACTGAAAATATATAAATTTTTTCACTTTTGAAACATGAAATTTCTAAAATTTTAATTTTTTCCCCAAAAGCTAAAAAAACTTTAAGGTCGATGCAAAAAAATTGGGTAGGTCGGGTAGCAGGAAACAGGACTATTTTTTATTTTGGCCTCATATTGATTTACAATATGTGTAATGCTGACTGACGTTTAATTTAATTTTCATACGAATTGTTAGTCCATTATTTATACACTGAATTGATGACAGATTTTTCCGTTATTTCACGATCATGACAATTAAGGAGCACAAGGTGGCTGTGACCAGTCGACAGGGGATGCTCACTCCTCCGTGGCACCTGATCCCACCTCTGATGTTTTGGAGGTCTGTGTTTGTTCTGCTCTTATTTTGTGTTGTTCTATGGACTTTGATATTGAATACTGTGCTCATTATCTCCATATTCTATTTTTTTAAGATAAGCTAAATTAGTCTTTTATATCGTGACTGTAAGAGATATTTTATTTCGATAATGATCAATCATTTTAGTCATTAACATCTAAAAATATTATAAAAATATATGAGAATTTATTAAAGCAATTATATTTCTTTGCATAAGGGACACTGACACACACCATCATGAGAGTGAAATAGTTATGTTTATAAGAATTTGTCAGACTTTTTGAAATATTTTAACACTCTAGGCATGATAATGAATCAATCAAATTACTTACTAGTACCATTCATGTGCTCAGTACTCTGTACTTTACAGTTTAAGTGTCTGTATGTCATCTAAGATTGTGATCAAGGAAATTTAAATAATCTTCAGGGTCGATAACAAACAATTTCTATTTGTACAATCAAATTAACCAGGATACTGAATCAGTCTTTAAAATTCATACAGTCAACATCATGTAGAAACATGGGCATAGTCTGAAATAAGCTTAATTAAGTCATGCACTTAAATGTTACAAAATGTTTTCATTTATTCATCTAATCTATTTTTATCAATTACTCCTTGGTGCAAGAGTTGAGATCGGGAGACAGAGAGAGACCTGTAAAAAAGTTAGTTCAGTAGTTGTTTATAACAGTGGCAGATCTAGAGGGGGAGAGGGGTTACGGGGGCTGCAATGAAATCCAGTCAAAGTATCCCCTAATTAAACCGTCCCCGTCAAAGCGTCCGCTGATTTTGGGGAGCTTTGACCAAAACCAAGGGATGCTTTGACCATTTCTTGGGGACAGTAAAGATTGTTTATAATAAGATATAAATATATTTTTTTCTGTAAAAATATGTAAGGGGGGGGGGGGCGCTCTGACTAAAATCAGGTCATACTTTGACCAATATCAGGGGGCCCTTTGACTAAAATTAGTGGACACTTTGACTGGGACGTTTTTATTAGGGGGCGCTTTGATTGGCTCCCGCTGCACTCCCTCCCCCCTTTTGATTTGCAAAATAAGAGAGCTCGAGAGAAAGACCCAAATTTCTACAGTGTATTAATGTGTTCTTATTATAGAAAAATGTCATTGAACATGTTGAAAGGCTAACGTTGTAAATTTGTAATATATAAAGAAATTTGGTTGTGATAACAAAATGAAACCCTACTTCTTCACATAATAGGATTTACAGGTTCAGAGATTTATTTTTCACTTTTTCAAAAAATTTCAGGTAATCTATAGGTACAAGCAGGGGCTGACAAATAGATTTTTAAGGCACTTGTCCAAGGGCAAGTACATGGTCAAAATTGACTTGCCCTACCTGAATTTTTGCTTGCCCTACCATTAACCAATTCTGTATTTTTAAATCTTTCAAAAAAAGAGGAAGACAAATGCTGAGTAAATCATGCAAGCCCCTATGCCCAGCTTTAAATTTTTGGCCTTCAAATAATTTCTATTTTTGATAAGTCACTTGCCCAGGGGCAAGTGGTTGATAAAATTTTACTTGCCCACCCCTAAAATTCACTAGCCCCGGGCATCAGGCAATGGGATTTGTCATCCCCTGTACAAGTATTTTTTTTCACAGGTTGATCCACCTACCATTTTTAAAAACTATACTCCACCCTGTATCCTACTGAGTTTTTTAACTACATGTACATGTTTATGTAAAATGTAAGTTATATAAACTCTTTTCCTCTTTACCCCCCCCCCCCCCCTTGAAAAATTTCTAGATCCGCGCCTGAATATTATCACCAGCTGATCACTTGAGTGTTGTTTACATTGTCATTTACCATTTCTAATCTTTTGAATGTCACATTCATTCTATATTCATTTATTTAAGCACTTCCACGTTTATTACATGTATATTGCATGTAAGTAACTAAGAAATTGTGTATCTGTTATTGTAAGAAGTAAAACAGACTATAACATTTTCTGCACATTGAATAATTTTCACCTCTTTTAATACTGGGGTGAAATATTTCACAACACCAAGAACAACATAAATAAATTAGTATAATAATTTAAAAACACTGACAAGCCCGTTATATTTTTATAGCACCAAAAGATTTTTATTTTTCCAACCACGTGGAGGCATGTAAACAAAGGACGATAACTCTAAATGTACCTGATTTAATGTTTCTCGTTTCATGTGTTTGAGGTAATAGAATTCGAGAAATAAAGACTAATTGAATCAAATTTTATGTGCAAAAAATGTTCCAGTGAATGAAGGCAAATAAAATGAACTTTACTTACATTAAATGCATAAATCCCAAAACACACATCTACTTCCTGTCTAAATCTTACAGGAACTGGTGCAGATCTCGCACGGTCTCGAGGCTGGTCTCGTTAGAGGTCAAATCGACCACTCGGATGTTACGCTACACTTAACAGCGATAAAGAATATCATCCGAACACATTAGTAGGGGTGTAGTAAATGGAAGTTTGATTTAGCGTATCTTATAAAATTCTTCTTTATTTGTATATGTACAAGACATTTAGCGCTGTACTTGAATTAGCAGAACTTGCTTTCCACCAAAGCGCTAAAAAGAATAAACATACAAATGGAATACCTCTACAGAGCGTATATATTGGTGAATGTGAGTAAAGAGCTTAGTAAAACTAAATTAAATCGAGTCATGGAGTGTTTAATTTGCGTTGTTACAATACAAATTTTATCCCTCCTATGACATTTTTAATCTGTGTAAAGAGAATGAATCTATAAAATAATAATTTTGTTTTCATATGCAACAGAATTTGTCCAAATTTTGTATGCGAAAAGAAGAAAAAACACTTGTTGGGGTCTTCAACTTTATATTTATAAATATCGACCACCTATTGTCATTTAACAATGGTACAAGTAATTTTATTCTTATGTCGCTAAAACATCCCGGTGAGACAAATTTGTTTGATATTTGAATATTTTACTTGAAAAGGACATTAATGGTAATCTAACAAGCAATGCAAGCTCTATGATAAATGTGAAGAATTATTTGTATTTCTTTAAGAAGCAATGTATATTCTGCGTACGGGGTTTATATCTCTCAGCTGATTCGATGCGCAAGATCTTGCTCCACGTATGAACATTCTCTACAACGAGGTAAACAAGCTAATTCAGAGAATTTGTGTCCCCCGCTAAGGGAAAAAGTAAACCATGCACAGTTCGGGGGAGGGGGTCAGATCCCCCTCAGTGAATTTGTAAAATTATTAAATGTATACATGTATACTTAAGTAAATAAAATATGCTAATATGGATATAAAGATGTGATTGCTTATTCTTTATTATGTGTATAGAAGATTCTTTTTGTATGGAATATTTATCACACGATAATGATGATTTTATGAGTTTGTACAAGCCAGACCTCATAAATTTTTCATTTCACGTGCTGAATACTATCATTTAGTAAACAAAAGTATTCCGGAAAAAAAAATGAAAATGGAACGCCCAAGATTCGAACCAGGGACTTCTCACATGAGAAGCGAGAGATATACCACCAGACCACGAAACCGCTCTCAACTGACAAAAACTATATGCAAACATGAAGTCACATACATATATATTATTCAGATTCAATATCGTCAAAATTTTACACAATGCTCTCCTCCTGTCCCTATGCTAAAAATAGCGACATGTAATACGATAAATTATAATAAAACAAACGGGGCGGGACACTTTGAGAGGGGTGAGAGAGGTCTAAGGGAGTTTGGTATAACATTACATTGCAAAAGCTCAAAATCGTCTTGAAATATCGCCCGGAAACGATAGTGTTACACAGAGACAAAAATGTATAAAGAACTATTTGCTGTATTTTGCATATCTTTGCCCCCCCCCTCCCCCCCGGGCCCCCAAAAGTCAATTTTTTTTTTTTAAAATGTGCTAAGTTCTATGAATTGTAAGAGAAATATAAATTAACAAAACACATTGTTGTTTCAATGTAGTTTAATTACAGTTTTTGTTTTTATGACGTCACAAACTAGTCCTATTTTTTATAATTTGTTTTAGAAAAAGGACTAAATGGACAAAATTTCAACAGTTTTGGCTTATAAAAATTGACGCAAATTTGTTCAGGAACAATATTTACATATTTTATTGATATTATCATTCTACATATTATATGCAAATATGGAGCCTGATCAGACCTGAGCTCGGTGTTTTTTAATCAAAATACCGTTGTAAAATATACATTTTTCTGTAGAAATCATGGAAATTTTAAATTTATGTCATGTTCATGACGTCATTTCAAACATATGACGCCATTGCTTATGAAAATATTCAGCGCTTTGAACTCAGCATGTATCCCCCTGTTTAAGAACATAATTAAATATTTCTCCGTTAAAGTTTATTTGGGGGGGGGGGGTTCGAATATTAGTTATTACCGAATAAAGTTCTTTACGACCTTGAACTCTGACATTTTGACCTCAAAATCTATAGGGATCTTCCTTAGGCCACAGGGAGTTGTTATGTAAAATTTAATTGCAAAAGCTCTCGAGATATCGCGCGTAAACGAAAGTGTTATAACAGAGAATGTGCGAGTTTATGACCTTGACCCTTTAACCTTTTGACCTCAAAATCAACAGGCTTCTTCTTTAGTCCATAGGGAGTTGCTATGCAAAATTTCATTGCGAAAGCTTACATGGTTCTCGAAATATCGTGTGGAAACGAAAGCGTTACAGACAGACAGAAAGACGGACAGAGGGATGGACCGACAAACCCAAATTAATATTCCCCACTTTTCAAGCAGGGGACAATTATTGACTATCAAGTTAATGAAACAAGAATAGCAACAGTCTCCTTTAAAATCATAATTTTGTAAGTTCTATAGTCGATATAACTCATGACCTTGTTTGTAAATACAGTTTATCATTGAGTCAAATACTGACTTACGTTTTTCTTGTTTGTCCATTATTTATTCATTGACGACGGGATTTCTTATTTCCCGATCATGACATGGAGCCCACGACGGATGTAAACGGTTGGCTGGCAGAGGATGCTCACTCCTCCATGGCACCTGATCCCACCTGATCCCACCTTTGATGTTTAGGAGGTTCATGTTTGTTCTACTTCTATTCCTTATCTTTTATGGACATATATTGCTAACTTACAACAATATTTCAAACACAGAAGAAACAATTGTAAATATAATACAGTAGCATAAGACTACACAAATAAATTGTTATAATCACAGAAGACAGTTTTGTAATATCATCGTGTTTGTTTTCATGATTCATTATTTGACTGCAGTTTATTAGAAATTGTCATGCTTACGGAGGTTTTGATTTAGCACATGCTAAGATGCATTTGCATATCACTTTGTAAAAAGGGAATTCCTGAAAATCAAATTCCAGTGTTTAATACTTTGAACATTCAATTTCAAGTTCATCAAAGTGAGTTAAACACCCTACTTATCTTCAAATGAATCCTTACAAACATAATACATTGCTGGTCAAGCAAATGCACTACCATTCACCTATCTTAACTATCTGTTTTGGAGGGGTGAAAATCGTCAATGCTTTTCTCAACTACATGCAATATAATAATTTATTAAATGTTTTATAAAATACAAATTACAGTAAACCCTGAGCACATAAATTCTGTATAGTCAACATTTTATCGAATATCACCGGTCGTCAAGCAATGTTGACTGTTGCTACACTAGTATACAATTATAGCCTTTTGATGAGGTCAATCCCTCGATATATAGACCTTAGTGAAAGCATATCGACCGAGCACGAAGTGCGAGGTCGATATGCTTTTCGCTAAGGTCTATATATCGTGGGATTGTACCGAATCAAAAGGCTACAATTGTTTTATTATTGTTTATTAGATAATGAAATGTTCTTAAAATCCTTCTTTCTAATACTCAGTACCTTCTCATACAAGGCATTGTTATGTCATTGAATTAAGACGTCACAGTAATGAAATACAGCTGCAGTATCTATTTTTAGAAACATCCAGTCTATAAAGACTATTGTGAGGTCAACACTATTGCTGCTTCACAGAAGAACGTTTCCAATTTTACAAACAGCAGGTTTGTAAATTTTTAAAATAGAAACATCCAGCCTGTAACACTTTTTATACTTGATCATGTGATCCAGTTTTAGCCATTCAGATAGTTGGAATAATAAAGAGAAATTATTAAGAGTGTTATCTCTTTATTCAGCGGGTAATAATGTTTTTTTTAACTTCTATTTTTCAATGAAACAGAATTAATCAAAACAATGTATGGTTTTAATACATACATTGCCCAGAGATCTGCTTTAATATAAAAATGATGTAAAAAATGAAAAAAAATATTTGCTGAATCATTGAAATTTATTGCAAGAGAATAACGCAAATCATTTTTCTCACATGAATTTCTAAATGCTTATAGTGTCGTCGGGAAAATGTGCATTTTCCCGTATTTTCTTAAATAGTTACAGAAGACAGCAATTTTCAATTAAATTTATCATCATATTATATTGTTCACAGGCTGTGCCCAAAACGATTTTGAAAAATTCTATATTTTTTTTATTGAATTTTACACAGCATACCCGAAAATTAAAGTGGGCGACAGCTGTGGATACCATTTTTTGAAGGGAAATTAGCCTTGAAATGGACATTTTGAGAGGTTTTTGTTGTTTAAAAGGAGAAAGGCTTCAAATCAATGACGTCTTATTCCAGGAATGTACTCCTTTATGTCATATTCTTTCCTGATTCATCACAGTCTTTAAATCGACTTATATTTGAGCCAGTTTCAATACTTTTTTAAAATGTTGGATTTTTAGGGCACAATAAAGCTAAAACCAAACCTTCTTCTTTACATGAAAGTTTAATTTAGCAAATTGTTGGCGTAATGTTAATCAGACATTAAATCACAAAAACTTCATAGATCTTTTAGAATCTCTTGAAAATCATTACTAAGCCAATCTAATTCAGTATATGGTATGGGTTTTAATAAATACTTTGGATTGATTGATTGTATGTTGTTTAACGTCTCTCTTGAGAATTTTTCACTCACATGGAGAGAAAAATAGTTAGAAAGTAAGACTAACAAATTTTATTTTCCAAAACATCTAAATGAAGAAAAAAATCACTATATTGTGATTGTCTTACTAATGTTTATTAGATATACCTTTTTGTAGATAAAGTGGTAAAGGTCATATTTTTCTGATTTACACAAATGTCCAAAACATACTTTTATTAAATCGTTGCTGTGACGTCATGACTTGGTTTTTGCAGTCTACAAATGTACCTTTAGGTCCGATAATAGTGATTACCAGTCCGATAATACATTATCGGCTTGGTTGGACATTTACTGGAACACACAATGTATATTTGTTTGTAAGGATTCTTATGGAGTTTCGGAATCCAATATATATAAAGTAGTTAAAATTCATTTTGGCTCTATTGAATAATACAAATATTCAAAACTGACATAATGTGAAGAATTT